ATGGCATTGCCATGGGTCTCCAGGGCTGTTTAAGCAAGGTCCCCCTAATGCCAGATGGTGGTCCCCCATAACCTATATTCTGGCTCTACAGAGAGCATATTCACTTTGCTCTCTTTCAAGATTTCTAGGGCTCCTGGGCACCGCATTTCCCTTTACCCATAATACAGTGGCATATCCCCATAGGAGAAGGAACTATTGATTCTGCCCAATGAAAAGGCAATTTTCCTAGCAGGTTCAGTTCACGTTTCCTGCAGTGATACTCAAACCATGGACAAGGGAGATCACATCTTCTAGGCATATTTTAGCTCTTAAGTCACTACAGATCTAAATCATGAGGGAGTTTTGCTCCTTTCCAACCCCAATTCTGTACAGAATTAAAAATTACCACAGTTCTATGATACACTTAGTTTAAGGATGAAAGAAGTAGGCTCTTTGTACATTTCGGTCTGAAATAGCACTTTGGCTGCTACAGATACAGTGACTTCTGGTACTTAGTCTGAAAAATTCTACCAATTCAATCCAGAAATGTCATCAAAAGAACTGTAATTATTTTTCCAGATAAAACACTCATGCTTCCTGATGATTTGTAAATAATGGCAAAAATTAGAACACATTGTCTTTTTGCTTTCAATCTACTCTTTTCTTCCCTATTTATAATTTTCTCTTTATTTAACTTTCTCTCATTTTCCAGATGATATGACCAATCCTCTGGACAGTTATTAGTTCCCAGTTAAAACATTACAAAGTTGACAGTGTATACACAATATTAAAATACATGCTATATTATAAACATCAGATATAATATTCTCCTTTTCCCCTGTTTCTATTTTATCATTCCCTTATTAAGAGAAATTGAGATCTAAGACATGAGATATTGTTCACTGAAAAAAGATGTAGCTACATCCTGGCATATAGTCCAAGTTAGCTGAACTATTTCTAGTATGTACTGGCAAACTAACAAAAAAGCATTATCATGATTCTCTAGGTCTTTCTCTCACAGCATATTCTGGATACATATAAAGAATATATCACAATAAATTCAAACTATTTACTTTAAGAGAAGCAGTAATGCTGCTTGAATTTTTATGAAATCTCACTTTGTATAGTTAATTTCTGAAGGCATAAATTAATGAACCTTCCTGCATTTATTAGGTTCACACTAAGCTTATGTTCACCAGTACCACAGAAACTGGTGGAAGTTCAGGAAATGAAGTGCTGAAGAGTAAGATTTTCTTCGGCATTCTTTCAGTGTCGTACATGACATGCTTGTAGCGTTCCCTTTTCAGTTTCTGGGGATGCTGGCATGGGCAAGGTTAACCCAAAAACTTCAGTGTAAGGATAGAGTTTTAAAAAGGAAGATTTCAGATACTATGGTGGTACCGACTGCCGCTCTTGCATCAGTGTTAAGAAGGGGATCTCCTGCTGGATAGCACGATGTGTTGCCCTAGGCCTAGACTTAAGTCTAGGAATAGATACAGGAATAGACTCTGTCTGAGAAATAGTGCAGAAAGCACCCATTCTCGTGATACAGAAATGGCACGAAAAAGTAAAGGCACAGAACCACTTCTAGAGTTTCTGGTTTAGGGCAAGTATACAAAACCAGAGCCAAGATGGAGAAAACACATGTAGGAAAAACATAACAGCAGCTCATAATCTTCCTTCTGGGACTACATTGTAGTTGGCTGTGGAGACGTTTGAATGGGATATAGTAAACTAATACAATGGTGAGTTGACTATATTCTCCTCCAATTAGCAGGATTTCTGTGATTCTACTCAGAAAAGACAGCTAGTTATTGTTCAAGGAAAAATTAAAATAATTAAGTAAAGAATATAAAATCAAGTCTTAATCCTAAAATTCCTATTCCTTAGGAAAGACTGCTGAATCTAGTCTGCATTTACAAATACTGAACAAGACGGAAAAATAGTGCAAAGAACATTGCAATAATCTCACAGGAAGGGAAAAAGCTGAAGTGGATTTTTTCATGGACAAACTAGAAAAAAGAATGATTCAAAACTGTACAGGGATTGAGAGCAGCAAAGGCAAGCTGAATATGCATTTTTAGCTACGTTTACAGCAAAAAGTCCTTCACTGCCTTTGGGAACAGCAGTGGAGTTACAGAGAAAGTACATGAAAGTTTCTTCTTGTGGTTGTGGTATACCTGTACGTGGAAACAGGGCTTCAAGTTCTAAACTATCATCATGAATTCAAAGAGCTAACTCTGCAAAAGACAAAAATGAGAAGACTATAAATACTGGAGGGAATAAAACTTGGGAAAATGGTGAAACCAAGAGCGCCATAAATGGCATTAATATACAAAAATGGAGAGGTTACAACTTAAATTTCAAGAAATCTTTCCATCAGTATTTGGACACATTGTTTTAATCCAAAACCTTAGGACATTTATAGCCAGATAGGAAAAACTTTGCAAATGGGAACAATCTTACCTCGACACATCACTTAATGTCTTTCTTCATCCTTAAATTCTACAACCAGAAAAAGATATACCGGTTAGTATATCAACCTTTAATCCCCAAACAATGTTAAATAGCAGCCAGCTATGCTAGGTATTTCAGCTGTAGAAAACTCTCACCAGGAAATTCTGAACATCTGGCTGGCCACTGATGTTCATTACTAATCAATCTTGATACAATGGAGAAATTCCAGAGGACTGGAAAAAATCATTATGTCAGTATTTCAAATTATTAAATTGAATCATTAAGATAATTCTAAGTCAGAGAGAAAATACAGAATGAAACATGTACATATAACTAATACTGATACAGATTTATAGAAAAGACAGTTTGCCGAATGTATTTGATTGCTTAATTGAGACCATAAGTTGGCAGATAATAGTAAAAGTTCAGACTGATATTCTGAGGCTTTTATAAGGCGTTTTGATGTAGCAATGAGAATAACATATAATGAATATGGTTCTCATTAAATGGATTAAAGACTAGCCAGGAGTTAGATCTCAAAATACCTCAGCAAAAGGGAATTATCACTGGCCAGCTGCATTTTGAGCATAGCCCCCGCAAGAACTAGTTCTTGATTTTTATTAATCCTCCCCCGACTTCAATTAGGATTATTTGAACCATGTTAACCAAAGGATGTCCTAGAGTTCTTGCAACCCAGAAGGCAAGCCTAGATACTAACAAAACTCTGGCTGTCTGGTCTAAGAGCACAGGGTAGAATATAGGAAGAATTACGAGTCCAGAACTGTAGCACTGAACTCTTCTGTTCAGTATTGCTTCATACTGAAGGCACCTAAATTAGGTAGATTCCACAATTTTTTGTTAAGCATTTCACAAGCACCCAGCATCTACTTATGCAGGTATCCAGAAAAGCCTCAATCTTGACTCCTAAGCCCCACTGTTTGCCAGTATCTTAGGAGTGGTTTATTAGCAGCTTTCATGGTGTGCCCAATGCACAGCAGTCAGGCTTAGCTCCCTCCTCCCCTTTTTGAATCTTAAATCTTCTCTACAGAAAGGCAGTTATTCAGCAAGAGGAGTAGCCTGCCCACCCTCTTCAGAGCATCAAGAACGTGTTCGAGATGCTCTCTGTGGGACATGTGGGTCTGACTACCCTCAGACAGAGCCAGTAATTAAATCTGGACCTGCTGCATCTTAAAGTCAACAGGCTACTATATAAGTGGACTGGTATTAGCGCTGTTTGATCCTCTTTTGCTATTTCAAAAGAAAGGAAGTATTTCCGCTCAGTATAAGCTGTAAACATCAGGTCAGCAGAAAAACACCAATTCCTGCCTTCGAACTTTCCTGCAGCTCCAAATTGAAACATAAACTGTATAAAGAGCAAGGTCTAATACTCAGCCCTGTCCTTAAATAGCCACTTGCTCAGTGTGTGTTTTGTTCTGAACCCTATTCTGAGGCCCTACTTCTCCCCACATGGTGGGGACTGACCATACCATATTTACAGTGTCAGGTTCTCCTGTAGGCCCTGCATGCATAAATCTTTAGCTACCAATAACCACAAAGCAATAGCTGTCAAGAATAAAAAATGAAGCTGGCAGAAGTCAAGAGTAGCTGTTACGCCTAAAACTTGTGCTTAAAATCTATTTAAAATCTGTTTCTCCCCACCCTATTCCACTCCCCCTCCCAAAAAGGTTTCTTTTCTGGTCAGACTCATGAGCAGCTTATTTTTGTGACTGGTAGTGTAGTTGCATGCGACTCCGGTAACGCAAACACTGTTTTTTCCAGACTACTTAGGCAGAGATTAATCGTTACACAATGATCTGTATTGGGAGGCAATGAAGGACATGTGTCTGGAAATGCAATAAACTGGCAAAAAACATTGCTGTAATTGTCAGGACTATGGCATAATTGAACACTTTGTGTATGTTACTAAATGAGAAGCAAGCCCTAAAAGATCTTAGAAGTGAATTCACACAGTTATCTGATTCACTAGAAAATCATGACCAACTGGGAAGATAGGGCAAGGAGAGGAAGGATGAAAATGCTTTAATAGACAGTTTGTTTGTCAAGGCTGGAAAAGATAGTTTATTCTGAGTTACAGAAATTTAAATAGATACCTTTAAAACCTTTTTAGCTATGTAAATTTAATGGAGAATTATAAAGAACAGCTCAGCTGCAATAATGTAAATGAGATTTCCACGGATGAATCCGAGTATAAACATTTTGAGCCATATTCTCCATGCTTATAAAAATATCCTCTCAAAGTAAAGTGGCTTGCTAAGTATTTAATATTTAACAGCTGAATCAGAAGTTAGATTCAAAACAGACTTCTGGAGTGAAAACATCAACTTTAAACACAGGATGTGTTTCACATTTTTGGTTGAGGTTTTTCTTTGTGAAAACCGAGGAAAAAGAAACTATTAACTTGTGCACAAATAGTCAGAATTTATCTGCAAGTCCTTTAAATTTTTGTTCTTCTGACATGAACACATTTAGAAATAGAAGGCAAGGTGGATCCTCAGCTGCAACTTGGAGCATTGTGCTCCACCTGACAATCTAGACCCTTCTCTTCACCGTCTTTCTGCACAGATGAGGTATGGCTGTGGTTGTAATGTCATGCCTAATCTTGGTTTGAGATCTGGAATCACGCCGTGAGGAAAACACAGGTGAAATCGTTGTAGTAATGAAGTGAAAAACAAAAACATTTCCATTCGAGCTAGTTGTTCTCCAAGACAATGTCTTCTTCCTGGATTGAAAAGAAGGTTTTGAAAAGACTTGAAATGTGTTCAACTACATTTTCGCTCTTATTATGAATGAGAATGGTCATTTCTGTGTCCTAAGAGGAGCTGTATGAACTTGGTGGTAGTATTCCGTAAGAGAGGACAACTGATAATTTACAGCAAGAAACAGATTTTAGAGAATTTGTTCCTCTCACTACACAAATGCCATTTTAACTAATTCTGTCAAATCTATTTAGATAAGCTATTAGCTACTTCGTCTTGTCTTGAAATGCCAATCGAGACAGAAGATATTTTAAAAAAATGATACTGTGCATTTCAGCCTTTGTCCCCTACTATTTTCTTAATTACCCCTACTACCAGTCATTATTATCTGGCAATTTTTATAACGTGGTAAGTAGAAAGATATGAAACGGGTCTGGATAATGCCTTTAAATATTAGTTCCCATTCCGTGTATGACTAGTTACAGGGTGTAAATGTGGTTGTGGAAGACACAGATGAATGGGTAACAACATTTGGAACTGGCAAAAAGAAACGTAATACAATACACAATAAAGGTGGACTTCATCAGATCTAACTTTGGCCATTTAGATGTTGCACATCTATTCCAAGGGAATTGTCTTGTCTTTCTCCTTCTATTTTTTTTGAGAAAGAGTATCCCAGATAAGTAAACTAAGTCACCCTCTACACAAGGCTATGTCTTTCTATGGACCGCAGAAGTAACCCTGGCAGTTAGCTTACACAGAACACCTAATATTTTAGGTTGATAATCATATGCAAGGTAAATTATCCATATTAAGGTATATATTAATATCCATATTAAGGTAAATTATCCACTCTTACAGGCATCAAAAGACAAATCCATAATGAATTAGGACTGCCAGAATCTCTCTTCAGGACAAAATGCAGTGCTACATGCTGACCCCCAAGCTAGTTCTGAATAAAATCTGCAATTTCTGGTGCTGATCTAAGTGCTGAAATTTGAAAGCTGTTTGTGTAAATCACCTGTATGTAATAACTTTAGCAGCAAATGACTATTAATTGTGAAATGAATAACACTTATCTACTGCAATGATATAAAATGTATAGACTCCTCAGATAAGAAGATATTGTGCTGTCTTTTTGTTAGTTTGTATATAATAATGAGCTCATCTAGACAAAAGGTATTATGCTAAAATGTGTTATGTCCAGAGTGCATCATATTGAATATCTTTAAAATAGCTGTTTCATCAGAACTGTGGATATTTTATATCATTCTGTCCATTCCTGATTTATTGCGATCACTTATATGTTATACATCTCTAGATTTATGAAAAGGGAACAGTGGAAGAAATCACTCTTACCTAGTGAAAAGGGAATAAATGCATCTTTCTTGACAAACTGCCCACTGCCGTCCAAAAATCTCTCAGGAGAAAACACTTCTGGATTGCTCCAGTATTTTTCATCAAAATGAACGGAGTAGAGGTTTGTAATGACTGTAGTGCCTTCAGGAATAGAGTAACCACGCACAACAGTATCTTTGGAAGTCGCGTGAAAAATACCTAGTGGAGCTATATTACAGAATCTTAGAACTTCATGTAGAACAGCCTCAGTGTATGGCATTTTGCATTTCTCTTCTAAGGCAGGCATTTTGTTTGGGCCGATGACTAAATCGATTTCTTTTTGAACTTGCCCTGTTAGGAACAGGAATAAAAGGTGATGTTTATTGTGTAATATCCTTTATTTTATTAATTTAAGCTATAAAATATATACTTTTAAAAGGATACTGAAACATGAAATATGTTATATAAAATACAGTGGCCTATAAGCTTTTAAATTTAGACTCTATATTCCTTAACCTGCTAGTAGGAATATTACTAGCATATACACCAGTAATCTTCATTTTGAAAGTAATTATTCTCAGTAAAATCATGTTTTAACATACTTTTCTTTCCTTGTGTACATTTTTATTTCTGGAGCTCTTCAAAACTAAAGAAACGAGCAAAAAACTGCAAAGATAAAGTACATTAAATACCTGAGTGAACACAGGTAACACTGAAATTAGCTACTTGAGCCTTTCCTTGTCTAATTCTGCTACGATTCTTTAGAATTGTCACAGTGTAAAATCATTCACTCTTAAACTGAAAATATCTGATACAACACAGTGAGAGCTAAGAGGGACAGGAATCTGAATTTAACTGAAAAGGAAAAATTCAATCACTGATTTTTTTTAAGCTATTTTAAAAATTAAGTTCACAGGTTATTTAAATAATCTCAAAGGCATTCAAACTGTCTCTTCTTTTTCCTGATACTCTTTCTTTGTTGAAACTGCCAAACAGCTCCTAACTAAAACAAAGTTGGACTTTTACAATTCATGTGGAACCAATAATAAAAATCTGGGCAATGTCAGAAAAATTCTACCAGTCACCAGTTTTTTCAACCTGAAGTGACGATGTTTCACATCAAAATAAAGAGGTGAAAAGCAGCTTAGTGAAAGTACATTCTGTGATGTAGTGGTGTATCGGTGTATATTGTAATACTTGGACAGAGAAAGTCTAAATAAATGAAAGGTAACAGTAATTTTTATTTTTATCCAGATGAACTGATTTTGAATCCAAATTCAGAAACTCATTATATCACAAGATCTGAGATCAGAAGATTATTTTAGGTAAGTGGATCTCTACTAAATCAGCCAACGTATAGGAGACACAAAACGACAGTTATCTTGATCTTTATTGAAAAACAGTATTTTGGTCAGATCTTAATAGAGAAGGAATAAGGATGTTCTTGTTTTAAGATATGAATATTGTTTGTGAACTAGGACAGACTGACAACTTTGATTTAAGTGGACCTTTTCGCATTTGGGCTTTTTATACAATGTAAAGCATAAATATATCCTATTGACTAATTACGGCACTTAATACATTCTTAACTAGAATATGGACAATGTACATACGCATCCTAAAACTGAAGTACCTATGAAATCAGATTCTATCTTTTAATTTTATTAAATGTTTTTCTTTTTTGGTAGATTTTCTTATTTTACTGTGTGGAGCACATAGATGAATCAGTGGAGTGCAGAAGCATAAAAGCAACATTTAATTTTTTTAAATCCATTTGTTTTGAATTGTCTGAAATGTGCTGACTGGTTAAAAATAGCAATCGCAGTTTTAAGCATCCACAAAAAAGGTTATTAGCTGTACTTAGTGAGCTGAAGCTACATATTACTCTTAAGTATGTCCCTCAAGGTTTTTAAATTAACAACTCAAATCCTGTTAGATCTTGCTTTTAATCCTAGACTAGAAGAAAGTTTTCCTATTTTTTAATCTTTAATCAGTTTCCTCATGTTCAATTAATTAATCAACTAACTAAAATAGTTGAGTAAATGAAAATAAGAAAATACGTAAGAAGTTACGGCTCTCAGGAGATATTTGAGCAAACTTTGGTTCTACTTGCTTAGTCAGATATTTTAACCAGCTCAGTGAATATGGGACTTAAAACAATGATAATAGCAGCAACCAAAGAGCTTTGGCGTCAATTTCTTTATTTAATCTGAATGATTTTCACTGTTTATAGCATGACATTCAAACATCTACTGCTGTCTTACTTTGGAATGACTGTAACACATCTTTTTATTTTTAAATGCTATTTTTGTTCTTCCAAAAGTATAAATATACATGTCTATAACATGTAAATCTATTGTGAATTGAGGCACTTAAGGATAAAAAGAAATTGTACCTAAACTGTTAACCACAACCTGATTTACATTTTTGCTGATGTTTTGACATATTTCATTTAGTTTATTACTTTCACATTTAATTGCATTTGCTTATTAACTACATAGATGAGTAATATCTGCCAACCAATATTATGCATCACAACACTAAACTTAAATATATCAGAAATACTTTATTAAAAATGTTAAAGCTACATAAAAATGTATTCACAAAATAATATGCTAAAATCTTATCATCATACTTGACTTTTGTTATCCACTTCATCTGCATATAAAATAAGCTTTTCACATCTGTCCATAGTATATTTGGCAAATGATACGATAGAGTAATATATACAAACCTTCCTTTTTGGTTACACCTATGGATCACTGCACCGCTTTGAAGAAGCATTTTAAATTTGCAATAAGAAAGTGTATCGGTTCCTCAAAACGTCAAAGTTCTTACCTTGAATGTTTGGATAAAGAGCCATAAATAACAGTGCCCATCTTAAAACATTTGTTGTGGTTTCTGTCCCAGCTATGATGAGTTCTCCAACAGAGAAAATTAAGTTTTCTCTTGAATATGTAGATTCTGGATCATTTTCATTGCAATCCATCTCATCTAAATATGCGTCTACAAAATGTCGAGGTGACTGAGGCTTCCTATTTTCAGAGACACGTTCAATAAGCTCATGAAGAAAGTCATAGACTTCAGCTGCATTTTTAAACAGCTGCTGGTGTTTCCCAAATGGCAAGATACCAATCCAAGGAAAGGCATTATATAAAAATACAGAAGCACTAGCAGCTAATTCAATATTTTCACTAAAAATCTCAATCATGTGCTGAAATTCAGTATCTTCATATGTAAAACGTTCTCCAAAAATAATCAAATTAGTAATGTTTGAAACAGCATTTGTTATCAAGTGCTTAAGATCAAATGGTCTGCCTTTGTATGTATCAATGGCATCAAGAAAAAACATAGATTCTTCTGAAATTTTGTGTTCAAAGGACTTTTGACCATATCCAAAAATTCGAAAGGTATTTACAGCTAATTTGCGATGTTCTGTCCATCCTCTGCCATATTTACTGTTCAGTAAGCCTGAAAAAATATTTTGACACAGTATTTTATGCAACGCTTTCTTTTCCCCCCATAAGATAATAAAATTATTTAACAAGACAAAAAAGGAGACAAAAAATTACACACAGCTTGCTATGGAACATAGTCCAAGAGTGACAATCCTTTCCAAATAATATCTTTAAAGAAGCATCAAGTATTTTATGAACAGAGATAAAGAAGTAGAGAAAATGGCTAAAGCAAATGTTTCATGTGATCACAAACCCATCTATTGGGCAAAAATTACATTTTTATATAAAAGACAGCAGGACTTACCTCCCATGTTTGTCAGCTTCTTAAACAAGGGAAGAGACGGTCTATCTGCAAAAATTTCGCTTTGATGAACAAGGCATTCTTTTACTGCATCATAGCCGTTCAGTACAATAGCAGATATACCTCCAAGATCAAGACTGAAGATCTTTGGGGGAAAAAAAAATAAAAATTGTAAAATGCTATTACAACCAGATCTTAAGAACCAATAATGACAACAACTAAAAACAAGTAATGAAAAAGTGAAAGAACACTAAACATCAATGCAAAATGCAGACTCGAATAAACGTCAGTAGGGCATACAGGTAACCAGAGGTGACACAACCGTGGCATTACACAGTAGAGTCTGTTGTGAGCTAATTTACTCTCAAAAAAGAAAGTAAATTAGCCCACACTACATTCTGTGCTTTGCTGTGCACCTAAAGCGACCAGCTCTCCAAAGCAAGGACTGGGGATGCTTTCATATAGTCATCAAAAACAGTGAATTTGGTACAACAATGCATGTTTTTCAGAAAAAGTGTACTTTCCCCCAACATTAGTAGATATAAGTAGATATTAGTATAAGCGTCTACTTACATAATATAACATAACATTGTTAGATATAAGGTACAGTTTTTATATAAGAACTAAAGCACATATATCGTCTACTTTCCTAATTTGCTGAGACTACTTCCACAGGAGGGAGGAAAGCTTTACTACTGTATCTGCTCCTCCTCCCTGCCTGAGTAAAGGTAAATTCCAAGAGCTTAATTTGGCTAAGGGCACTATGACTGAAGCTACAGGTTCGTATCACGAAGACTTCCAACGTGTCACTTAGTCATGGCAGGCACAGAAGTGGTGTCAGCTGTGAAAACAACCAGGCTGCACCCACTCCTTTCTACCTCTGAAATTGGACACCAGCTTACTTTGCACAGGCTCCCAAAGAACCATCAGATGATAGAAGCGAGAGCCATGATGACAGCCAACAAATGACAGCATAGCCCAGCTAGTCCCATCTCCTGTTTCCAGAAGTGGTTAGCACTAGATGCTTTGGAGAAAGATGCAATACATCCTGCAGAAGGCACGTACAGGATAAACAGAATGAAAATCTTAACCTAAGTTTTAAAAATTAAAACTGAGGCTAAACTCAAGATTGATATCCTATATCCCTTCCATATTTTTCTTAGCATTATAAATCCGTATTTTTACCTATACAAATCTAGTTTTTCCTTCATCTCAGAGCTGTTGACCTCCACAATATGAAATAATGTGACCCTAATTATACATTCTGTGACAACTGGGTTGTCACCGAAAGGGTTGTCAGGCGCTGGAACAGGCTGCCCAGGGAAGTGGTTGAGTCTCCATCCCTGGAGGTATTTAAAAGACGTGTGGATGTGGCGCTTAGGGACATGATTTAGTGGTGGATCTGGCAGTGCTAGATTAACGGTTGGACTCTGTGCTCTTAAGGGTCTTTTCCAACCGAAATGATTCTATGATTCTATAACTACTTTGTTTTAGCAAACTTGGCATTTTCACTGTTATAATGGCTCGTCTTTTTTAGGTGACAAGAAGACGCTCCTAATATATTTCTGTAAACCATCTGTGAGTTTTGTGTACTTTGATCATAGCTTATTTATCTTTCTTCCTATGTCATACATAATTTAAAAAAAAAATCCTTTCATTGTCTTTTTCCAGAGCCCCCCAAATCCTGATATGCCATCTTCAAGTTCCCTCAAAATCTGCAGGATCCTTTCTGACAGCAGGTGACTAGAACGACATACAGCATTCCAGGCAAGTATAAAGCTTACTTTATTTGATGACACATTTTCCTTCCTATTTCCATTCTATTTGTCCTAGCATTTTGCTTGAAACACATTCACTTTTTTCTATTGCCAAAATAAACGAAACAAAAGATAATCCTATCCTTTTGTTTCTCCCATTTAGCATGCTTTTAATTCATGCACTTCGCTTCCCTTCTCATTCACGGCAAGACTGTGACTATTTTGCTTCTCCTGTAGCTTTCATAAATGATCTGGGCAAAAGCTTTCGACAGACTTAAGTTCTAGCAACAGTTTTATTTGCTTGTTAGGGTTGTTATATTTAAACACTTCTAGCAGTCTGAAGGATGTGGTTTTCTAGATGAACCACTGTCTGTTGGACACAAAGCTCAGTCCTCCGCAGACCTCCAGTGATAATCCTGCCAGGTAAAACACCACAGGTGTTACAGACAGTCTGGAGATGCACAGCACGCCGAAAGGCTGGCCAGGGTGTGCGCGCTGACCGGACAGCTACCAAAACGTACGTGTGTGTGTTTATGTATGTGCACACATACACACGTACAAACGCTAACACCTGCCTGCCTTCCCCTGCTAGATCTAGTCTGGGTTTAACTTTTATGAAGCTTGTAAGAATTGATTGGTTGCTTGAAACTGGATGATGAAAAGAAACACCTGATATATAAGAAAGTATGAAAAAAAGAAAAAATCCATTCAATTAGCATTACGTAGTTATGCTAATTGACTGTAAGTAAGTATTCCAAATGTCCCACTGAAGGTACTTCGAAGCAACATGTTTTCAGTGAAAATGTTGCATTATCCAAGTGCCTGCTCTTTGGTTGTTGTAATTTTGTTAGTTTTAAGCCCTTTTGGCGTGTCCAAGGCTTGTGGATATGAAGCAAGTGAGTTACTTCCATTTGCAGCAGGACACCGTTTAAGCAGTGTACCAAAAAAACAAAATAAAAGCAAGAGCAGGCACGCAGACAGCTCCGCTCCGCTCCGCGCCACCGACCTAACGAGGGAGCTCTGGCGTAAGAGGGGTAAAAACTCTTCTCCTCCGCCACTGGCCTGTCCCGGCTCCCACGGGAAGGGCTGGCCGCAGCACCGGTTTTGCCAGAGCCTTGTGCTCCGGGCCCCGCTACCGGCCGGGTACCGCGCCCTTTTCCCTTTT